GTGACCCACCACATTTTTACATTGAGACTAGCTAGGTTGACTTTTTTCAGCAAATAAAGACGAGAGATACCTACACAAGGCAGTTGGTTATGAAGGGTTTAACCAACATATGAATGAAACTGTGTCAGGAATCAAAAAAACCAAAACCCAACCAAACCAAAGATATTCACAAGTGATGACAAAGCTCCTTCTCACAGTAGAGCACAACTAGGCATCGGTTGCTCTCCGAGACACAAGCAAGTCTCTTTGGAACAGCATCAGTGCACTGTTTCACACTCCTCCCTCTCCCAAGGAGGAGCCATGAGGGAGCAAGAGTCTGAAATATTCCTCCATTCAACAAACTTATGGGCAAAACTCTGCAGTCTTCTCTCAATCTCTCTGATGTTCTTCCCTTTCTGAAGCGCTCTCTCCTAAGTGTATCACAGAGAACAAAACAGGATTCTCGTTTACTAGCAGATTAGAACTACTCATACATCTTATCTGTGTTTAAGGACTGCTGTCTCTCAATTTTTTCTTCTTGACACAGCCTTATTTCAGTCTTCTTAAATAGGTCACAGGTAACAACACGTCTGTCCTCCTGGTTATGTTCCTTTCCACCTTCTCAGTTCAGTGAGATGGCATAAAACTTTGGAAATAAGTCACGCTGGACACAGATGTATCTGTGAATCACAAAACCTAGCTAGCAAATCAACATACAGAGCTCTCTTAGATGTTCGCTTACCACAACTAAACAGGAAGTCTGACAAAACAAAAACCAGAGTTGTTTTACCTTTCCCCACAATTACAACAGGAAAAGCAACTATCCTACCTCAGCTGTACATGAAAGCACACACTCATCAGAGTCCGTGAATGAAGCTCACTATAGCAGTGTGCAGTTACAGACATCCCAACTGAAAAGGGTTCATTCCTTCTAGATCACAGCAAGGTAGTGCATGACCCACAGTTCAGATCCATAAGCTAAAGAGAACAAACATCTTTTTGGGGAAGTAATCCAAAATGCAACAGAGATAAGCACTTCCTATCACTGTTTAGATCTCCCAGCTGCTAACACTTTTGAGCACGCCTTGCACTTAGTTTCCATGGCCCAGCTGTACATTAGATCTGGAGAGCTCTAAACTTCATTTTAAGCTTACAATGAAAATGAACTGCATTTACATAGCACTATCAGAATGCAAATGAGTTATGTATTTCGTGCCGAACAAAATCGTTACATCTCAGCAGATCTATTGATGCAATGATACGGTTCAAAAAGCCTCAGATCCTCTCTCTTCAGTATTATCTTTAAAATAAGGGTAATTAAACCACAAAAAAAGTATGATATTCAAACAGCAAGAAATACAAAATCCACAAAAAGAATTTCAAAGTTGAGATTTAAGCACTATCTAGAAGCCAGCAAATTAGGACTAGCTGACCTCAAGGTACTCACGCTCAGGCAATCCTTCATATGAACGAACACATCAATGCCTCTTATGGGTGCTGAACTGTGGTCAACATTCAAGTTTACATCTATTATCTTTCATGCCTACTAAAGCAGATTAACCATTAAGGTAAACCTTAACTCCTAATTTCTTTTCCCCAAAAAAACCAACAAAACCCAACAACCAAAAAAAAAGCACACATGCTCCCCCCGCCCTACTTTACAAATAAAGTATTTAAAATACTAGAAAAGAACAAACAGTTAAACAATTGGTTAATTGGTTAGTACCTAACACTAGTATTGCCAGTTGCAGCATAATTCAGCTAACAAACTTCATTACATATCAGGTTTACTCCTGGCCACTTAAACAGTTTTCATCACAACAATGCATTGTTTAAAAGCAAACAAAGAAACTTGGTCATTCCAATCCATACAAACATACATTTCGACAAAAACAAAGAGGGGGGGAAAAAGTGACTATTAGTGATGCCACTTCTCACAAAAATACTACAGTAAATTTTATCACTGTGTGTGTTAGGAAATGGTATATAAGTTTCTAGGTTGATAAATGAACTTATACATAAAAGATCCTAGAAAATCCCACCAAATTTAAGCATCAACTGTACCAAAGATACAAGTAACACTCTAATAACCCTGCAACTGGAAGACAAAAACAAAATGTAAGGGAAATAAATTTTATTTGGTATTATCCTATTATATAACCATTTTATCTTACAGTTGTTTGAATGTCATTCATCCAAGTATTTTAAAAAAACACATCACATGATATATGAAATCATAACTTTTTCTCCAAAGAAAAACAGTTTAAGTCTCCTTTGGCTTAAACTAAAGGATTTCAGAAAAACACTGCAAAACAGCTTCACGAAATTTATAGACAAGCATCCCATTTTGCCTTTGACAGACTGACAGAACTGCAAATAAAAGGAAAATTTGGTCAAGTTCAAACTCAACTTTGTCCCTGAGTTTGACAGAGTCTGCTTCTTTATAAATAAAGCAATTAACAGCTCTCACGTTAAGGATCACACAGATAAATAAGAAACCAGGAGACAGCTTCATAGATTTGTACTTCCTGTCCCTCCTTGCAGTTTCCTGCCACATAAAATGTATTTTAAAAAAAACCAAACCACAAAACCCAGCCAACCATCACTGAACTGCTTACAGATCAAGTTTAAAAGAGGAATGTATCCTTGATTTGCAAATGAGCAATGATTAAGCCACCTTAAATGTCTTCCTGATTCATATGAAATTGCATTTTCACTTGTTGAGATGCAAGAGATATTTATAAGCCTCTCCAATATGAAATCAAACTAATTAGTTTAAAAATGCAACTCCTCTTTAAATGCATACACAGCATTTATATTAAAAAAGATTTATGAGACTAGTCAGCCCACTATCTGAGCAGTGAGATCTCACATCACCATATTTATGACAATACTAGCACCAGAAGTAATATCACTGCACAGCTGGGATCACAGGACTAGACAAGCTCATTTTGTACAGAAAGTTCTTCAATCTCCAAAGCACTTTACATGCAGGGCTGTATAAAATTCCTCATTCCAAGAATTAGTTAAAATTCACTGTACATATTGAGATATTCCCACAGTAAGGTCCCAAAGTCATAGAGAAACAATGACTCTAAAAAGAGTCTGTAAGTTCAACTGCCTTGGTTGTTTTTGAATTATGAACAAGTAAAGGAAAAGAAACTGTATGCATTGACAATTTATAATAAAGAAGTTTCAACCCTCTGCAATGTATGGAGCTGTACTTCGTAACAAACTCCGTACCTGATAGAAATAAGAAAAAAAAGCTGCAAGACAACTCAGAAGAGAAAAATTTAAAAGGCAAAGAACTACCAAATTCACTTAACAGGACAGAATAATGTAGAGTTTGTTTTATTTTGATAGATTTCATAACAACTTCAGAAGAATCAGCAAATGTCTTTCTACTACCTTCCAGCCAGGCAATGGAGACACCACCATTAGCCGAGGAAGTGCACCTTTCTTTTCCACTGTTACATTTTGGCTTCTCTGTGATAATTTTTCAATCACCAAGTTCTCATATAAAGTATGTCTGGTGCTAATTCTCCAAGCGAAAATTACCAGAGTTTATAAAATGTTTCCAACAGTACCAAACTGAAGACACCGATATGAGAAAGCATTTCACTCTGTGAGCTACAATTACCAGGATGAACTCCACAATGCCATTACAGTGAAGTTATTTTTAAGCAGTCTGAGGATCTGAGGAATTGCTACATAATTAAACTAAAAGCTTGTGACTGTACATGTCCAAGGACACATTTTTCATTGCTTGTCACTTTTTGGTCCATCCAAACACTGCAAAGGAAACACTGTTTGTTATAAACCTGCCACTTGTACATTCTGAAACCGCCAAATTCAGATCTTAGACCAGCAATAAATACACCATTAGTTAACCTAAACCAGCAGCCTAACATCTAATTTTATGACTTCTGAATCTCCAAATTTTCAACAATTGAAAAAAAAAACAATACAAAGGTTAAGATTGAACAAGTAAAGGAACAAGACATGAGGAAAACGGGTTGTAACAAAATGAAGCATTTCTATCCAATAATGAAAATTTCAATGTGCATAAATCCTTGAAAGAAATCTTATTAAATATATTTAACATTCAATTTCACAGACAAGATAAAATTTTATTGAGACAAATTTGTTCGTGCTGGCTTTTAAAATCTCAGGTAAAAACAAAAAACAATGGACTGAAAGCAAGAAGTTTTATGATTAATCTTCTGGAACTTCAGCGTCAGTGTGATTGTACTTAACACCTTCTGTAAAACACTGCTCAAAACCCCTTTTTTCTTTTAGCTAAGGCTTCAGAGTATTTTTGACAAGTTAATCAATACCCTCATAAATGAATGAAATGCTGAATGAAATAATCTTGCATAGCATGGACACATGCTGTGTATTCCATTACTTTACCTGTAAACGTCAGAACTTCCTGTTCACCGCTTTACACTTCAAAACACTGACAATCTCTCTGCACTGCATTATGTTCTACTTCAGTAACAGTTCTACTGCTATTGGTCCTTGCTCTAGTGATTTCTTTAGCTTTCTTTTGTTTTGTAGGTTTTGTTGGGGTTTTTTTGTCAGACCATTTATTTTCTAACCAGTTAAGCAGCACACTGTGCCAAATAAGGGCATTCTTAATTACATCTTAAGATGTAAGCCATAGGATGCCTTCAAACCTGTACTCCCCAGTGGTAAGAATGGGAGCTCTCTACATGAAGTCTGTCAACTAGGTTATGTCAGAAGGGTGTATCTTAGATCTTCATTCATTACCAAAGAGGCCATTTGAAGAAAAGCTTAGAAAAGAATGATGCATATGGAGAAAATTACTCAGCGCTCTTTCACTGTACTGATCAGTTTAGAAGACAAAATAATATTCAAGTGGCAACCTTTTACATTGCCGCTCCAATATCAATGCTTCCAATAAACACATGTGGAAATCTTTTTCCATACAGATCTTATGCAAAAAATACAGCCCTTTACTGCAATCATGTACAAGAACTGTTCTGCACACGAGCATTTCATGTTCCTTTCTTCATATACCGGGAGAGAAACTGGCTTCTGACAAAGTGGATCAGCTTGGTCTCTGTGCAGAACATAGTAGCAGTGGTTGCTGCAAAGCACAGAGCACCCATGCTGATGTGAATCAGCCTTGCCATCCAACCCTTATCGCAGCAGAAGAATACCTACAACAAAGGAAACAAGCAATTGCAGGAAAACTGGTGAGCAAAAAGTAGATATACTGTCTCAATAACAAATAAGGTCCAACACCTCTCTTGACCATGCTAATACCACCATTAAGCTGAGCGCAGTTTTGCCACATGCACTGGTCCTACAATAAATCATCTTTAGTAGTCACAACACTTGATTTCTTAAGAAAATTCTGTCAGCAAAAAATAAGCATTCAGTAGATACCTGGTAAATGTGGAAGTTACTATTATCTGACATGCAGAAATACATTAATTGAGATATTACGAAAACTCTGCTGGTGCTATCACACAAGTCTGCCACTTTGCAGTAACGTACTAGGCTATTTTCTAACAAAACCCCACTGGTAATCTCCCATTCCAAAATATAAAGCTCTCCTTTCTAAGGCATAATGGATTTTCAATCTGTCAAATTTTTGCAGATTGAAATGCTGCCATCTCCGTAATAATTAGCCTGCACAATTACCACCCTGTAGTCTGAATAAATGTGATAAATGTGCTCTTGGCAATTTTTGTTTCTGTTCTTGTTTTGCTTGATTTTCCTCTATTGCTTTTTATTACAGAATTTTTAATAACAGGTTTTTTGTGCAAAATCAGAATTATTATTAAGAACTAAGGACATGGATTTATCTACAGACAGCAGAAATGTGTTATATTTTATTTTACTTGTCAGACAAACCTTCTACAGGTGGCAGAGATGACTTCATATCAAAGATAAAATCTCTTTATATTGTATCTTGCCCTGCCTGCAATGGAAGGTTTCCAGCCTATCCTCATCAGCCTTTTTTGCTAATGGCATTTCTCTGCTTGTGGACACAAAAGTCATTTGACACTAACTTTCACAGTGAAAGTAAAATCCAAGATAGATGCTTACCTCTGAGAAACCAGTGATTACTCCACTTATGATATAAACAAATACCAAAAATGGTGAGGGAAGCAAGCCTGTCAAAGGTCTGTAAGTGCTCTCTTTGAAGTAATCATAGATGTAGTGGGTGCTGTGAGCTATTCGAATACCCATGTTAAAGCAGTTGGCAAGGATAAAGCCTATACTGCCATGCCAGTGGGTCAAGAAGTAAGAGATGCACAGAAATGTGAAGGACAAGGCCAGCATAACAAAATTGTACCTAGGAAAAAAAAGGAACAATTTAACAATGTATACAGCTACAGTATTTATTTACTAACTTTATCTTTGAAGAAATACCACAATTTATTTTCTAAAATGAGGAACAGAAATTCTCTTACCATCTTCTAATGGAAGAAGATAAATTTGAGAACCGAGACATTAATAAAAAAATTCATTGAAAGAATGAATCCATCAAACAAATTAAACCAAGAACTACATTATGTGAAGGAAAATCTATTTTACTTATCAGCTGTATACTCATTTCAGAAAGTCTAATTTAGTAGCAACGATTAGTAATGTAAAAACCTGTGGACGTTTTGCTATTTTATTTTAGGTGTCTATTAAAGAAAAATAATGCTCAACAAGACGACACTTTATATAGTTTCTGCTCCAAACAGTGGCTTTGAAAACAAGTTCACACTTTAAAGGCGTCACGAAAGCAGCCCTTGCTAAGTCTAAAAAGATACTACTTTGACTGTGGAAAGTAGACCTCATTGAAATTAATTTCGAAAGGCCTCGTAAGGGACAGCCGCTATGTAAGCAAAAAAACCTTGATGGTAGCACTGGGAAGGCAACCAGGCTTCAAAGTCAATAAGCCAGGATGAACACAGAATCAAGAAATAATCCAGACAGGAAGGGATCTCAGGAAGTCCTCTAGTCCTACTTAAAGTAGGTAAACCACTTATCTACTCAGATAATTCTGACCCACAGTTTAGATCATTCAGAAGTGTACCTGTAACTGTACATGAAAAGTTTTAATGAGTTTTAAGTGATAGTTTGTCTTAAAAACCGTACCTTCAAGTGCATATGTACAGAAAACAAGGCTTCACATTCAAATTACTTTTCCAGTTAGTGATGTACCAAAAGTTAATTCAACAATCTTTTTATTTCTTGATTTCTAACCTTTTGACCCAAACATTTAAAAATTTAAACATTTTCTAAAGCTTCTACATCTAAATCTACATGCAGACAGCTAACTAAGGGAGTTAGTTTTCAGTGGGGTAGGATATTTTCATGCTGATTTCAAATGCACCGATCTCTTTATAAGGTCACTACAAATAAATTTTTAAGATGATCAATGTTTATCAACAAATACAAGCATGTAAAAAACAAAAGTAGTGCCTGTTTGCTTGCCCATCTGTTGCACCTGGCTCTGGAGACAACAAACATAGCTCTTAAAGTGACTGCAGAAAAATTTGCTCTTTGGGAAAAAAGAATTTCCAAGCACATATCCATGCAGAACAATTGTCCTGTTTACATTCTGAACTCCAAGCAAACCATACGCAGATTAATTACAGGAATATTCTGAGGACACCATTTCCTACCTGTCTACCTCTTCTTTGCACATCAAAGCAAATGTAAAACATTCTGTTACTCCATTGATAGCAAGAAATAGGACATATAAAGAGTAACATCGGAGGAGATCTGGACCTAAAAAACACATTAGAATGATAAGTAGATTACTATTTCTTCTATAAAACCACTTTGTTTTTACACTCACTAAGAGATAAAAGTTGTAATGTTATCACTGATAATGGAAACTTAAGTTCATTTGAACAAGTTTCCTGTCTAGATATCTTGACAAGAACACAAATAAACAAGTCAAATAAAAACAAAAATAAACCCCAAAACAGTCAAGAATAGCAATTGTTAGAGTAACAGAGAAGATATCCATCAAAAAAAGTATTTTATTAAAAGGGATTTCCTAATTAAAAATTAATGTTTATCATAACCCAAATCTTCTATTGTACAGAAATTTGTGGAAATTAATCCAATAGTCATTATGAGGCACTAAAAGCAATAAAATGCGTATTTTGAACACAACAGTAAGAAAAACAGAAAGGCTGTTCAATACATTCAAAACCGTGCTAGATGAAAAATGATACTCAGATTTTTATGGTTCACAGATAATTTATACATGACTTCAATATTCTCCATTCAGACCTTAATCTTTTTCTTGTCCTTTAGACTGTAACACGGGGAAAAAAATCCCATGCTCTTTTTTTAACAAGTTAGCGTGCATCCATGAATATTCCTTCTTGGCGGCAGCAAAGCAGTTCATATTACCGAGACGACTCCTGTTTCGGTTCTGAAGAACAACCGCCCAGTAAGCAAACGTGGGACAGAGCTGAAGACTTTTTCAAGTTTGCATAAAAACATTAGACTACAGAGCACTCAGAAAGAAAAAAAAACATATCCAAATAAATATATCCATGAATATCTGGTCAAGTAAGTCAGTATGCATGCTCAACATTTCATTTTCACACATTATCATTAGGTTAAAAAAAATAAAATTACTTGTGAGTCACTTGACTTGCATCCATATTCCTAAACATAGTTCTTTTCAGTCAAGTAAGCATGTCTAAAAGATTATGCCCAGGCACTCATTCTTGAAGAGAAAGAGGGACAGAAAACATTTTCTTCATAAAAAGAGTTGGCTGCCGAGGTCCAGAATGACAATCTTTCACAACATTGGCTTTCAAAATTAGAAACAAATCTGATAGAACCAGCAGCAAGACAGCTCTAAACAACATGCAAAAGTTATTAACATTTTTTCTTGGTTACGCAGACACAGGGGTTTCCTTAAAATCACTATACAAATCAAGCACCATCTTCCAAATAACATGCAAGGGCAATTATTAAAGCAAAAATATCTAAATGCTTAACATTTAAAAATAGGAAAGTGTCCATGGGGTTAGAATATATCAAATGATCTTAACACTGAATAAAGTAATTGCAATTAATTTTAATACCCAATAAGCAATATTCCAAGGTTACGGTTTGAAGGTGCAGAACTCTAACAGGTGCAACTGTCGTCAACACAATATACTGTCTCATGCTTTCATCTTCCCTGTAACTTTATCTTAGTTATAATAGATGTGAAATGGAAAATGCAAGCTAGAACTCTCCCACAATGGCACACAGACAAAATTTCCCAACAGAAATGCAACAAAAAAGCTCCTCTGAGGTGCTGCTAGATCTTCACCTAAGAGAGATCAGCTAGGAACTGAGACATTACACAGGGCTCAGCTACAGAAGACAGATTGTTTTTTCTAGCAGGAGCTAATGTAGGTCAACTGACAAACCACTGAAAGAACCCAAGAAAACTCCAGGCTACAATTTGTGTGTTTATGTTTCAAGAAGGAATTAAATGAACATCTACTTTCTCTCCTGAAAAATCCAAGGTGACCTACAAATTCCTTGACTGCTTCTGTGGACAGATCTGTAAAACCTACCCCTCAGTATGTACAACTATAGCAAGATTGTTACCATTATATGGTTTAGCACTATTAAAAAAAAAAGCATTATTGTTTCTATGCTAAACCTATGGACTCTTTGGTTCCAGTTTGTTGTATGGGTTTTGGGGGGATTTGTTGTTGTTGTTTTAAACAGCTGGAGCTAGCAATTCTACATCATGGAGTAGTCAAACAACCCTTTAAAATGTTCTTTTCCAACAATGTGAAATTGCAGGAAGGTAGAGCCCCAAACCTGATCATATTTATTTAGAGCTCCTCAGTATATTTTAGTTTAAGGTGACTACATATTAAAGATGCTATTACAAAGGCATGAGTTCTGGATTCAGACAAACTAAGTCACTGATTGCAACAGGTGTTTTACAGAAAAAAAATTCTGCTGATTTACCCAAAAATTCATCATAGCTGCAGTTTCTCTTTTTAAAGAGTGGCTTCTTTGCCAGTTCTATAAATCTTTACCTGTTCCAGCACTGAGCATTGAGCCTCCATAAATATCCAGAGCCAGCTGAGAATAGGCATAGCCAAAAACTGTGATGGTAAGGCCAATCAGAAGCACAAGTTTCAACAGCAATTCTAATACATTTGCAGCCATAGCAACATCACCCTGAAAAAAATTGTAGTCAATTACATGAATCAGAATCAATATAATAGTTATTTTCACACAGAAAAGCTACTTCACAGAAAAAAAATCAGTTTGCACAGTGTAAAAAGGTGTGAAACTTATCCTTTGTAACTGAATTATCCATACACATGGTCTTAACTTCAAACAATTTTTAAAAACTTATTATTCCATTCTATGTTTTACACATTACAAATTCTACACAAATGTTAGCCATGAACACGTCTGTTCAAGGAAATGTGCAAACAGCACTTGCACCTGTTTATCAGTTAGTAAATGGCAAAGAAGAGCACATGGCATCTGCCCAAGGCCACAGTTTTGAGTCACCAGGAGGGTCAGATTTTTACTGCTGCGTGGGACTACAGGATTTGCCACACCAGAACAAGCAACTTGTCAGTTCTACTACCTCATTACAAGAAGCATTCTTGTAATTCTTGTAATGTAATGTAATTTCAGTACATACAGTGAAAACTCATAACTATTTTGCCGGTTACATATATCAGGTACACTATGTATAAAATATACATACACGTACATCTTTCTTAGCCCACCAATGACCTGAAGCATGGAATTTGTTTAACTGTGTGCTACGGCGCAAGTAGCAGGATTACTGCACAAAGTTGTCACAGTATCAGACAAAAGCCCAGGCTGACCTTCATGACTGATCAAGAACTTCTTTCCTAAAGCATGCACAAATATTACTTTGTGGAATAAAGCTCGTTTGTTTAACCATTGACATTCCACATACAATTCAAAAGCTCCAGAAAAATGCAATTCTTTTCATCCCAAAACTGCACTCTTTGGAAACATTACTGTTTAATACTTAACAACTACTTATATTTTCAAGTAAGTCAAATATTTTCAGACAGCATTTATTTGATAGAAATAGCATGCTTTCATGATTTAAGTAACTGCCTAAGTATATCTGCAAATACACGGTACACTAGGGTTTACATCACACTGTTTGGAGCAGATGATGTTAACTTCAGTTATAATACAAGGCAGTATTATGCCACTGAATATCTTAATTCCTATTTCATTAGCATTTTACTATTTTCTTTTCTTTTTGATTCAGCCTCACTTGACATTTTCGTTCACCACTTCAACTTTTCAATTTTAACAGCCTTTATACTCAAATTTAAACACACATTCTGTCAATCACAGTTCTGTGATGCAACTTATCTGTAATATAAATCAAGCATTTGACACGTAATTAATCCAAAATAAACATACCTGCTTCTGATCCTTTACATTCTTCCCTCTTTCCAACACTTTAGCAAAAAAGACATAAAAACTCTCCTCAATAGGCAAAAAGATAAACCTGGCCACCAGTGAACCAAGATTATTCACGGTATCATATACACCTTAAAAGAAACAAACAAAAAACCATAGCAGCAACCTGTAATTTTTTTAGATACAGTTTAATTCCAAGTCTTCAACAATTACATGAATTCTAATTTAAGATTTCCACTGAACAAAGAGAAAACAAGTGGAACTTAGTGCAACATTAAAGCAGTGTTCCCTAAAAATTCTGACAGTCACAGCAACCACAGCTCAAAATTACAAGGCTTGTTCCTAGATGGCAAAGCTAGGACAAAAGCATCAACTACTGAGATGTGAATCTAGTAACAGTACCAAACTACACTTAAAATTCTTAGTGTAGAGGAAGTTAGAAGATCCTGATGAATTTCACTGAATGAGAACAGGAATGTAGGGATTTACTGATACAGGAGAAGAGAAAGATATCTATTTTCAGTATGAAGTTGTTCTTTCTTTTTACTTTCACTGAAGTGGAAGAGCAATCCTACATGACATTTTACCGGCAGTTCCATCCTCAGCAGGATATTGCTCCAAACCTGCTAAGACATCTATGTGTGTGTATATATATATATACACACACACGGTACAATCATTGAGAGCATATAAAGTCAGGCATATGGATAAGTGCTTTACATATTCACAGTGAAATAACAGAATAAGGTTCTGGCTGATTTCATAGGACTTGGAACCAATGTTTCTCAACATTTTGAGAGTACAGGCATTTTTGTACTCATTGCTCTTTTAAAGACCCTTCAAGTAAGAGGCAGCTCAATTGTTCTGCAGGAGAGGAGGATCAGAAGTGGCTGCAGTTACTAGTGGCAAGCACATATACTCAGTATTTAAGGGGGAACATACTACTGCCAGCAATTAAAAGTAATTCAAACAAGCCAAGAAACTTCTAACAGTGGGCCAACAATTACAGCCTATTTTCCTTCCCCAAGCTATAAAGACCCAAGGTGCTGGCACCTCAGTCATCTGAATGGCTACTGCCATACGTTACTCTGTAACCACACTGAATTCTTTTACAGAACATAATTCAGTTTTGAGATGCAATGCTATGAACAATGATGTTCTTGCCGTAACAGCTAACACAGATTCAAAAGGAAGACAGAAAACAGCAGGAAAACAGAATTACAAGAACTGAAGACAGATAATTATAACACATCAGATACTAATGAAGTTCTTTTCTAAAAAAAAAAAAAAGATACACTGTATTGCATATCCAATTGGAAAGTTTTGACCCACAGCAAAAAAATTAAAATCCGGATCTTAAATTAAATTATTTTCTAAATCTATATCAATCATTCTCTGAAATGTATCTCAAAGTCACAAAGGCTTTGAAATCATCTCAGATTTTCAAGTTATCTTCAAATACTTTAAGTCATTTTCAGAACCATCTAAAGAGCAGTGACTAAGAAAACTGTGCCACCATTCCACAACACCATCACACTTACCCTGATCTCCAAAATTTAACACGTTCAAAAAAGTCATCACATATCGTTCACCTGTAAGTTCAAAATAAAGAACTTAAGAACAAGTCCCTAAATCTTTCCCAATACTTGTTCAGGCACTTCCAACATTAAGTATTCAAGAGACAAAGTCAAAGGGGACAGCACCTAGTTCAGAATACCCTCAAAAACTTCATTCAGGTTGGTAACATCTGCTGGCAACAATCTCTGGAAGTCGCATGCCCACACCCCTCCCCAGCTTTCTCAAGCTTTAAGTCAATTTTGTAAATAGTTGTCGTGGTTTAACCCCAGCCAGCAAATAAACCCCACGCAGCCACTCGCTCACCCCACCCTCCAGTGGGATGAGGGAGAGAATCGGGAGGGCACAAGTAGGAAAACTCCCGGGGTGAGACAA